CCACAGTTTTCCCTGAGCCTTGTAGGGGTGATGTTAGTGTCTATCTTAGGGCCGAACAGTCAACAGTCACTTACTCTTGCATGTTTTATAGCCATGGGTTTCTGCACTAACCATTGTTCACTTACTTCAAAAAGAAACTCCTCTGACCAAAGCTGTTCGTAAAGTTTTAGGAGCGTCTCCATTTAGCAAAACAAAAACATTAGGTCACCCCTAGAGTCTATGACTTCTCTAATCATGGGCATTTAACTAGGTCCACAGCACCAGGTATAAACTCCCTCCTGTGGAGTGGGCCGGAGATCCAGTCAGAAAGGGATTGTTACCCCCACACCAGTCATGCAATTACTGAACAGGTGGGCACACCCTGCCTGCCTATTTGGTGTTGAAACATGCAAAGACCACAGCTGGGTAAGAACAGATGACTTTTCTCCCCCAGTGGCCCGCACAACACCTTCTAGCACAACAAAAGCTAGCAAGTAGGGAGGAAGCTTCCATTTCAGTTCTAGCTTGATTTCTCTGTGTCCCACAACCAAAGTATGCAGTGTCTGGAGCAATAAAGTGTTGCCTTCTAGTTCTGGTGGGCAATCAAGAGCAGCGACGATAGCCTTTTTTTGGAGGCCTTGGGGCCTTTCTGATCAATAGTTCATAAGGAAGTTTCTCACAGCTGGCACTTAGACTTTCATTTTGTGATCACGGATTCTGGGATCAGCATTATCTACCTATGCAGGCTACCTGTGTTCAAACTTTAAATACACACACACACACACACACACACATACACAGACACAATCTATATTAATATTAATATATCTTGATTAGTTTGTACAGCAGAAGGTTTCATTGTGGTTTCTTCATACAGTCTTAGTTTGGGGGCAACCCTCCCCGACTTTCTCATTGCTGTGATCAAATTCCCTGACAAGGGCATCTTAAGAGAGAAAAGGTTTGCTTTGATTCACAGTTTTAGGGTACAGGCCATCATAGCAGGGAAGTAAGTCATGGGCGCTTGAGGAAGACAGCACAAACTAGACCTGCAACCTTCACTCAGGGATGGGGGAGGTGTGGTGCTGCCCTACTCCTCCCCAGGGAACTTGTCACTGTTTAGGGATGCTGGGGGAGGAGGAATCACTGTCTTCAGTGATATAGCTATTGGTGAGTCTTCCATACTTCAGCTGGAGGAAGCTGGTCACAGTGCATCCCTAGTCAGAAAACAGCGTGAATGCTCACGCTTAGCTAGATTTCTCCTTTTTATACAGTCTAGGACCCAAGCTCAGGAAATGGCCCTACTTTTACAGTGGATCTGTCCACTTCAGTTAATCGAATTAAGACAATTCCCTCACAGGTATGGTCAGAGGATAATGTAATCAAGAGAACTCCCTCACAAACATTTTAAGAAGCTTGTTTCTTCAGTGGGTAGGATCTTAACAATGAAAATCAATATTAACCATCACACCAACCATCCTCTACCTTTTCGTATCTGCCAACCTGTCCCATATAAGCCTTGCCACCCCCTGTATTCCCTCTGCACGTTCACGTTGCATGTGTTCTACTATCCCCATTCCTCCTTGAACCTATCTGCTCACCCCATGTGGCCTTTTTCTAGATTTATGGTCTCTACAGACATTCCAAGTTAAACACTTAAGTCTAAAACTTCAATTTTAAGATCCACAGGTGAGAGAGAGAGAGAGAGAGAGAGAGGCATTCTGAGCCTAGGTTACCTCACTCAGCACAGTATGTTTTTCAGTTCCACTCATTTTCCTGACAATCCCACAGCTGAATACAATTCCTTTGTGTATGTGCTGCGTTTTCGTTATCCATGTATGTTAATGGCCATCTAGGCTGATTCCACTTCCTAGGAAGCAAAGGTGACTAGATCAGCAGTGAACATGGATGTGGACGTATCTCTGTAGGAGGACGCAGAGTCCTTTGGCTCTATGTCCAGCACTAATCCCCACAGTGGCTGCACCAGTTTACCCTCCCACCAGTGGTGTATAAAGGTTCTCCTTTCCCCACATCGTCAGCAGTGTTTGTTGTCATTTGTTTTCCTAATAGTAGCCATTCTGACTAGGATGAAATAGTTTCCAAATAGTCTTAATTTGTATTTCCCTGCTGAGTAATGATACTGAAATTCACAATTTAATTAGAAATACACATCACTTGAAATAATTGCAATCAAAGTGCAAGTGTGTCAGTCTCTCCCTTCACTCAAGAAGCATAAAACCAGTAGAGAGACCTTTAAAATTATTCAGAACACAGTCCTCTTACTGTCTTACTTATGTACAATTACTGTGTAAGTACACATAAAACACTGTATGTAATTATGAAGGAGATTGTTACTCATTAGAATGTAGAAAATTTCTTCTTACATGAGCTCCCCCATGAAAGAAGAATAATAGCAAATATTGTATAGTGTGTATATGACTCCCAACATATTCATAAGGCTTGTCTTTAGTCTGGTGCTAGTTTCAGTTATAACTCTTGGTTTATAGAAGAGAGTGTTGAGACACAGAGGGTTAAAGTAAGTTGCACAACTACCCAGTGCTCCTCCAGGATCTAAATCCAGGTAGGAATGGTCAACAGGTGCCAGTGACACATATAGTGTGGTCATATTTCTGTAACACAAAAAGGAAGATGCTACATAGTTATGTATACATGGTTATACACGCAGAAAGAAAATATACGATGGGGGTTGCAGAGATGACTCAGCAGTTAACAGCATTGACTGATCTCAAGGGTACTGGGGTTCGATTCCCAGCACCCACGTGACAGCTAACAATTGCCCATAACTCCAGTTCCAGGGGATTCGATACCCTATTCTGACCTCTACAGGTCAGAATTGGATGACATGGGTGCACTTATATGCATGCAGGCAATATATACATACACATAAAAAAAAATAAAATTTTAAAAACTAGGATTTGAGCTAGTTGAGGTGGTTCAAACCTATAATTCCAGTTACTTGGCAGACTAAGGTAGGAGCTTTACAAGTTCAAAGCCAGCCTTGGGCAATTTAGCTAGACCCTGGCTCAAAATAAAAATTAGAAAGGGCGATGCTGGGCGTGGTAGCACACACTTTTAATCCTAACACGGGAGGAAGAGGCAAGTGGATCTCTGTGAGTTCAAGGCCAGCCTGATCTACATAGTGAGTTCCAGGACAGCTAGGTGTAATGGATTGTTCTTTATACTATAATGTTTTCATTTAATATATAAAAATCACATATATTTCTTTTTGACATCTTTATTGAGATATGATTCATGTATCCTACTGCCCACACATTTCCCTGTTTTAAGATGGTTGTCATGAGAGGATACTTAATCTTTTGTTCTGCCCTCCATTTCCACACTCCATCCCATTAGTAACCTTTGTTCTCTTGGACAGTTTTACTTCTATTTGAATGTCATATATACATACATGATTTCATGTATCTATATAAAATCTAAAAACCACATATGAGAGAAACATGAAATTTTCTTTTGAGAATGATTCAATTTGTTTAAAATGATTATCTCCAGTTGCACTCTTTTTCTGACAAGGGATATAACTTAAGTTTTAGTTTTTTAATGTTTCTAAAGCTGTTCTTTATGGGCATATATATGAATTTGTATACGTATGTATATACATATATATCGCATTTTCTTTATCCATTCCTCTGTTCTTGGACACCAAGGTTGGTTCCGCAACTTGGTTGCTGTGAATAATGCTGTAATAAACACTGATACAACTGACGCATTTTAAAGTGTACAATTCAGTGATTTTCATTACATTTCTAAAGCTGTGCGTCTACCGTCTTAGAATGTTCTCATCACCTCAAAATTACAGCTCCTGTTCATTTTAAACCACTAATTATTCTACTCTTTAGCTTCAGAACAGGACCAGCATACTTTCTGCCTCTACAGATTTGCTCTTTGTAGACATTTCATGTAAATATATTCTTACCCTATGCGTTCTTTTGTATCTAGCTTATTCCCTTGGCATAAATCTTTCAAGGTTCAGCCCCAAAATAAACTTCCACATACATGATAAATATTTATTAGCCTTTCCCTTTGCTTATTTTTTTTCCTTTGTTAACACTCTTAGGTGTGGATATTTTTCACTATAATTTTCTGTGTGCTGATTTATAACATACACATTTGCTCAGCTTTAAATATTTTCCTTATAGCCCATTATTTGCATGCTCTTTTTTCTCCATTCTCCTCTGTCTTACAGGGAGGATATCTTCTCCATAATACCAAGAGACATGATGGAGACTCATGGTTCAGTTGAGGAGGTGTTCTTGCCTCTTTTATGGCATGTTGACCCGATGATATCATGTCTTCTCCATTTGGGTAAATGAACCCATGTCTGAAACTCACAGGCTCCATGAAGCAGCTCCATTCATGATTTAGTAATTTGCTCTGAGGATCATAGAATGGCAAACACTGTGTAAGAGCCTTTTAAAACAGACTCTGGTATATTAGGAATTGGACAGCATCACCAAAAATTAGAAAAAGCAGGGTGAACTCAGGTGCCTTAGCTTGGGTAACACGGCCAACAATGACAGCGTGTTGGGATCTGACTTTGGAGTGTCTCTCAGCTCCATTTTCCACAAGTTCTCATGGTACATTCTTCAAAACCCCTGTTTTTGGAAAGCTGCGATGCAAATCAGCACTTACTGCTGAGTAATGATCGAACAGTAACCTAGAAAGCGTCTCAGGAGCACCTCTCTTCTAACTCCCAAACAAGGAAGGCGCTAAAGTCCTGATGCCTACTAAGGATGCATTTTTAAATTTTTGACCATTTCAGACATGTATGTATTGAATTTGCATCCCTGTCATCCCCTTGCTGTCTTCTGTCACCCCTCTCTCTTTTTCAATGAAACCCTTGTTCTCAACAAACCCCTGAAGATGGGTTTCTAGGATGATTGAGATGGGATAGACAGGGCAGTTTTCTAGAGAACAGCTACTCAACAGGGGCTTTTGAGATGAGCTCAGTAATCCTAGAGCCATCACAGAAAGAAAATTTTTCACTACCTTGAGTCTGTGCTTCTCCCTAGTGCCTTCCACAGAGCCCCCTTCACATCCTTGTTTCTCAGGGTATAAATCAGAGGATTGAGCATGGGGGTGATTATAGTATAAAAGAGGGCCACAAACTTTCCCTCATTCTCAGAATAGCTGTCGTTTGGTTGTAAGTATGTGTAGATGGTTGAGCCATAAAACATAGAAACCACCAGGAGGTGGGATCCGCATGTCCCAAAAGCCTTTCTGCGCCCAGCCACTGACTTGACCTTCACCACCGCCCTGACAATCTGTACATAGGAGCCTAGAATTAGTGTTGCAGGGAAAACCAGGATTATGGCTCTGGCTATAAACATCTTAACCTCTGTTCTTTCGGTGTCCTTGCATGCCAACTTGAGGAATACAGGCATCTCACAGAAGAAGTGATTCAGTCGATATCCACACAGAGGCATGGCCATCATGAGGCCTGTCTGGATCAGAGAGTTCACAAGGCCTGCTACCCATGATGAGATAGCCAATGCCTGGCACAGATGAGGGTGCATAATTGTTGTGTAGAGGAGTGGACGACACACAGCAGCAAAGCGGTCAAAGGCCATCACCACCAGAAGCACACTCTCAGTGGAGCCCAGGGCAAGAACTGTGAAGAGCTGGACCACACACCCTCCATAGGTGATGGTGTGGTCATGTCTCTGAATATTGATTAGGAGCTGGGGCACAGTGCTGGTGGTGTAGCAGAGGTCCAGGAAGGAGAGGTGGGAGAGGAAGAAGTACATGGGACTGTGCAATCTGAGGTCCAGTTGTGACAGAGTGATGATAGTTGTGTTGCCAAAGAGTGTTAAGGAGTAGAAAATCAAAACATAGATAAAAAGGATGAGTTCCAGTTGAGGCCAATCTGAGAAGCCTACCAAAATGAAGCCTTTGCCCAAGCTGGTATTGAAACTTCCCATAGCCTTGGACCTGCACAAAAGCAAAAGATAATTCAATGCACCTTATCAAGAAAATGGACCCAAACATCCCCAGTTTTCTCAAGTACTCACAAGTCATCTATTTATTATATTTTTTATTAGTCAGTTCTATTTTATCCAATCTTCTATAAGAATCTATATGTCTTCTATAGACTGGCCATCTCTGAATTAGGAATTATGTCATCTTTATTTGAACCATAGTTCAGCTATTTTTTGCCAAGACTTTAGCCAGGCCCCTCAGGACTGTGGACTTGATATTTCTTGTCCAAAAATAAAGAATTGCTTTTAAATGTATTCTCCATAAGTATTCTTATGTGCTGTTATTCTTTGCTCTTCTCTTTGGTCTATTTGCTAACTGACTTCAGATGGCAGCCACAAATTTGACCCATGGGTCCTCACGTGATCCTCCTGTGCTGGGGTATTGTCGGTGTACCCATCCTGGAAGACCCATTCATAGTAGTGTCCATCTGTCACAAAAGACTGAGACAAGTGAGACCCATTTCTTTTAGAAAAATAGCAAGAGATGTGTTCCTTATGAGTGAGGGGAGTGGCCCTGCCTTACCTCGTCCACTGAAAGTTTCAACAATTCAGCCGCACGGTTAGTACCTGAGCTCGCTTCATATTCTTTCTTTCTAACTCTCCTTATTCCCTTGTTAAAATTCATTTTACTTATCTTTGTCCCATTCAACGTTCTTCAGCGGCAGGGGACAGGTCGAATATAAAAATAAATATTAGCCTCTATCATAGAAATAAATAAATAAATATTATCATCTGCCCTTAAGGTACTCAAGAGGAGCTAAATTAATGTTACTTTCATTCATGGTTGAGAGGAACTGTCAAACTTCTTGAGTGAAACATTTGGTTCACCATTCAAACCTGATGACAGTTCATTTCCTCTAAGAAATTTGCAAATTAACTGCTAACACACTTTGATAAACTATGGAGGTGTGATAAGTATAAAGCATCGCTGTCCTCAAAAGATTGATGTTTCTTCTAGTAAACATATAGATAACATTATACGAAAGCATTCCAGTGAGAAGAAAAAATATTAATGTGATCCACTGAAGTCTAGCATATAATTAATATGAAACACTTTTGCTTAATTAGCTAATTCCTTTTTGTCAAGTTTACTGAACTGGAATGCTGTCATCAGTGGGTTGATGCTGGAGTCAAAGCCTTGAAGTCCATATCACATCCCTACAGACCAACTCCATCCTGGAGTAGCTGTGCCACCTGCTCTGAAATATTCATGTGTGAGGTTCATCTTAGTTTCCTGTAAAACAAAGAAAATAACTGACTCTAAGAAATTCTGATTGTGGTTACATGTCATGAGGCATTATGCATATCACAAAAAATGGTTGTCCTCATTTTTAACACTTGCCTCTCTTCATAACTAATAGTTAACTCGATGTAAATGAGGCTGCTTATATTTATTCAGTCTCATATGCCCAACTCACACTGTAGTCATTGGGAAATAACATTGTTGAACGAATGAATGAATGCATTACCAACCCTGGCATCATGACTGTGCTCATGAATGTCCCATGTGTGCTTGTCTCTTGTGCAACATCAATCAACCAACACATCTGCACTGTTTTTCACTTAATGGCACATGGTTTTTAACCACTCCTACTCTGTATTTCTAACAGTGATTTTTATAATGCTATAGAGAAATGATTAACATATTTTCCATCCCCCAAAAGCTTAGAACTATAATTAATACATATAACAATATAATAATTTCAGGATAATCCAAGAAATCTTCAATATGATAAAACTTAGAGCCTTATACCAATAACGGTCTCCCTTAGTAGACTAAACGTTTGAATAATTTTGAACTTGTGGAACCAAACTTCATTTGCAAACCTTGCTGTCAGTCAGCCGGATGCTCGGATGCTCCCAAGAGTGTCACATCTCCTAGGCTTAGAGTGAGGGGACCCTTAGACGTTAAGACGCGGCTGAACCTAGGAACTGTTGGAGTAACTGGAGCTCAGAGTTCCTCACCTTAGACCCTTCACCACCCTCTATCCTTCTTCAGCCTTGGCTCCCAACCGTCTCTCATCTTCTCTCTACTTCCTTTATGCCTCATGGTTTGTTACCTCTATGTCCCGCTGTCTCTGCCCCCAGCTGACCTGTGTACCTCTCTACCGTCCCTCCCGCCACCACTGCTGCACTATGGCTCCGGTCCCTGCAGGCAGAGCAGCTGCTGTTGGTGATCCTGCCGCCGCCGCCGCTCACTCTACTGCCACTGCTTCCTTTGTCTCCTGTGTTAATACATCTGCCTGTTCTGCTAATACTAAGAGTGTAGAGTAGGAAATAAAAGGGAATTTGAGAAAAAGCTTTTATTGGACCTAATGCTGCAATACCAGGGATCAGAAAAGGATAAGTACCTCCCAGATGACTCAAAAAATGAGCTGAACACACAGTTTATAGAACCAGATGGGAACTATAGCAAAGATGTTTGCACCCATCATGGCATGCACTTTCATTCAGTTGAAGGACTGTGTTTGCACCAATCACTGGCTATCTTTTGCATCACCAAGGGAAGTGCATCCCCTCTGGCCTAGGTAAAAAACAGTTGCTAGAGCTCTCCAAGGGATCTCTCTCTCTCTCTCTCTCTCTCTCTCTCTCTGCCTGAATTAAAATGTTTGAAATAATTGTAGCTGAACTTGTGTTCAGCAGGAAGCAGCAGGCCTTGTGCAGCTTCTTCGAGCATCTCTGGAGCGTTCAATGTAGCTGAGCTGCCACGGGTGCAGTCTGACTGGCTGCCAGAGAGACCGCTTGGCTAGTTGTGTTGTGCTCAAGGAGGAACCAGGAAAGGGTCTAACAACTCCCTACTGGGGAGTCAGATTTCCCAAGCTCCCCACATCTTATTTAAACTAAAAATAACATTAAAAGTATGTTTACAACAAAGGCCTATTGTTTAAAATTAACAGTGGTTTAACAATATTTAAGGGTGCTCTCCTCTTTAACAAACTCCCATGGGGAAAGTGGTGACATTTCATTTGTCTCAACCACAGTTGGACAATTGTGTTATGGAGGACACCAAACATACAAACCTTCAACTAGTCCACAAAGATTTAGAAAATAACCTCAAACAGCCAAAGTAAGTCTAAGAAAGAAAAACAAAGTTGGATATATCACACTTCCAAGTACTTACAAAGCATCAATAATTTTTAAAATGATGAAAGAACACACAAACCATTGGAATTGAAAATAAAGCCCAGAAACAAATCTCAGTACACATAGCCAACTCATGTTTTATAAGGATCCCAAGAGGGTGCAACGAATAAAGGATAGTCTCTCATGTAAACAGTGCTGGGAGAAATGTATTCCTATGTTCAAGGAATAAAATTGTACTTATTCTTATACCATTCACAAAAATCAGCTCGACCATGATAAAAGCAGATCCTGCCATGTGCAATGTCATGGGGGCAACTGAGAGAGATACATTAGAGAAATAAGCCCAAATAAGGAACAAAGGTTGAGTCATTTCACATATGTGAGCAATGTGAAAGAATAACACGGCAAATGCAGAGTCAGAGAATGAAACACAGGCACCAGGAGTGCCGTTCAGGAGGAGGGGTTAGGTCACAGGATGCAAAGCTGAAGACATGTAGGAATAAAAACAAAGTCTAGAGGTGCAACAGTATTTAAAGATAGGCACAAAATGGGCTGAAAAGATGGCTCAGCACTTAAAAGCACTGACTGCTCTTGCGGAGGACCTGGGTTCGATTCCCAGCACCCACATGGTGGCTACAAACCGTCCTTAACTCAGTTCCAGCAGAATCTCAAGCCCTCTTCTGAACTCCACAGCATTGCATGACATGGGTGCACTCACATACATATAGGCAATACACTCATACACATAAAATAAAAATAATAAAGACAGCACAAAATTATACTCTTTGGGCAATTTGTACTAAATGAACAGATTTTAACATTCTTGTCATAAAAAATTTTAAAATGAGTGGGGGGGGGTGGCACACGCCTTTAATCCCAGCACTTAGGAGGCAGAGGCAGGCAGATCTCTATGAATTCAAGGTCAACCTGGTCTACATAGCAAGTTTCAGGCCAGCTGGGGCTACAGGGAGACCCTGTCTCAAAAAAGGCCAAAAATTTTTTTAAAAATGAGAACTAGTGTGAGATGGTGTGATGTTACTTTGCAGAATCGTAATCTCCTACAAAGTTACCTCTATTCCAGTGTGCTGGTCTTAGGGAAGATCACCACAGCTACATGGTTTATCTAACCATTAAACTGGTTGTCAGTATCTGTAGTTCAACTCTGTTCAGTCACACCTTACACGCCACCTTGTAGAAGACAGCAGTTCTCCATCAGGATGATTTTTTTCTCAGTGGAATATGGCAATGCTGCAGACATTTGGGGATGTTGTAGTTGATATCTAGTTTTCAATGGTAAAGAGTACTGTTGCACGTCTTCACTGGACAAGACCCTGCACTAATGACACACACAGGAATTGTCTGGGCTAAAATATCAACCATGCTGAAATTGAGAAAACTTGTCTAAGAGATATGCTTTGACTTCTCTTATCTGAGCTGACCACTTATTACAAGATCCTGTGGGGCACTGTACCTTCACACATAGACTTTGTCATATTCAACTGAATTTGAGATTTAAATATTTACTCGCACCATCAAGTCTAGAGCTAACAAAAGCAATGGTGTGTCTAACATGTCTGCAATTATAATTTTAGACCGCAGAGGGACTGCCATATGAAAGCACGACACATGTCCCTGAGCCTGCAGGCATCCACCTGCACCAGTTCTTTCAGAGATCCATAGGGAAGCACTGTAACTTGAAGCAATCTCAGCCTCATTTAGAAAATGAGGTGTGGAGGTCGCCCTCTGCCCTCTTTCTTTGGACTTTGAGTAAGAATATGGTAGGCAAGAAGGAAGGTGTGATACCACACACTCTGCGGGACAAGGTTCCCCACCCCTGCTCCATTATATTGGCTTTCCTC